TGGGGGTGTTGCGTGTGGGAGTGTGAGCGTATGGGAGTGTGTGCATGTGTGTGAATGTTTTTACTCTCTGAACTCGAAATATATCATTACTCTCTGCAGTGACGTTAACAAAAGTAAGGACACTCATCCAAATAACAGTGCAATCTCTTGAAACATACTTTATCATATATATTGTATATGACACAACAAAACTTCTTAAATGGTAAAAATCATCAACCAAATCTAATAAACCTCTGAACAGATGCAAAACAAACTACATAAACAAAAGTCAGGACAATATTAAACTGTAAGATAAAGGAAAAGATGGTCTTACCCCAGTTACATAAAGATTTGCGGCAAGATAAGGAAATTAGGAAATTGTGAAATGATACAGTTTTGTGACAACTCAAAATATTTCAGTATGGAGTTGTAAACTATTAATCTTTTGAAAAACTATCAATCTAACACCTTCATTTTCTGATTGTGATATATATGTGATATTCCAAAATTTCTGGTTAATTTACTTAGAACATCAAATAAAATATTACTTTAACAAAGGTTTCATCAGTGGATCCATTTCTATCAAAAGCTACTTAAAACTACGTGTGTAAATTTTCCCAATTAGCGGAGTCGTTTATTTCTCTTCAAATAAACATTAAGTAACCTTTCATTCATACGTTACTTACATAAGAATGTGATGAAAACACCACTCTCCATTAAACAACCACAGGTAGTAGTAATAATGATGATGAGGATGATAAACACGGTAACATGATGATAACGCTGATGATAATGAAAATAATAATATTAATAATAACAATGCTACTAATGAGATTAATAATAACAATAACAGTAATAGTAATAATAATAATAATGATCATTACAATGATAATAGTAAAAAGAATAATAAGAACTAATATCATAATAAAACCAAAAATAATTTAAGTATCAATAAACACCAATCCTTTCTTGCGATATCTAACATTATTTTATGCCAATTTACAGATTTTACAAACATGATCAACTATGCACCAATATTCCTTTTCCTTGTCAAGTAATTCACGAGGGAGGCATTTGCTTGGATGACTATGGAATGCATATCTGAGACTAGCCTCGTCTAAAATAGTGTATTATCTCTTTTAATTAACTCTAGAAAAGTGATTTCTACTCTTATTAGTGAATGAACCTAAAGAATATATATTTTTTTAAGTTACACAAAAAGGTATTTTCAACTATTATGAGTGAATATACAGTTAATAAATATGTTATGGGTGATGAACCGTATTCATGTTGACAAGTGTGGAAAAGTATGAATGAGAACGAATATCTCTTGTATTGTGAAGATATTCGTTCTCATTCATACCTTTCCACATTATGGGTGATATCTAATTTGATGATTCTAAATGACTATAAAAATTCCTACTTTATAATGGTGAGATGTGAGGGAATTGCAATGGAAGTATCAAATGTTGAGCAAAACCTGATGTTTGGATTGTAAAAAATGACTTACAATGATGAAAATAATTTAACACACACAGAACAATAATTAATGACAGCAATCTTTTTATTTAATTTTTCTTCATTTTAATTTCTTCACGGTTTTCAAGACATGCAAACAAACAATTCTCTCTCGAATTCTGTTAGTCCCCATGTGACTTATAATGAAAGCTGCTATATACCTTATACCACCCCCCCCCCGAAAAAAGAAAAGGAAAGAAGGAAACTAGAAGAAAAAACAGATAAGAAGGAAAAAGTGGGATAAACAATAACTGAAAGTCAGCAGTGATAGTTTTTTCTAACTTTTATAACCACTTTCACATCACTGATCTATTTACTGGAAATAAAAGGTTGGCATATGCATATATACCTTTGTTCAAAATTGAACTCACAAATCTTCGCAAACACAAAATCTTAGCTCATCTCATTCGATAGCTATTAAAATACCTGGAATGATATAAAACAAATATCTGTTTCTAGGTGCTTACATTATGACCAAGAAGGCTGCATGCAATAATATGAATTTCCCGGACAGTTGCATCACTTTCATGCTTTTGAAAGGTCAACAGACTGGATCAGTTGACTTTACTCTGTTGGAATGAACTTGTAATAAGAAAAAATAATGGCAAATGAAAAGGTAAATGTAAATGTAAACAGGCACAGGGAAGTGGACTTTGATACACGTAATAACGGTGCCAATAAAAGGAAGAATGAAATAAAATGAAAAAGTAACTTTGGACGCCTGATAACCATAATTTCTTACAATATATTTCATTCTTACCATTTTCAGACTATATTTCTTATATTCAAGACCTTACTACAAAACCAAAAAAGAACACAGGATAAAATATGTAGTTTTACTTTACATCCATAAAAAACACACAAGTTTAATCTCATAGTTTACTCACACAACTCACACCAAATTTCTATCTCCTTTCTGAAATGTTTTAAACATCTCTCATTACATCTAAGGTTTGCATATGATATATTATTATTGGCATATAAAAAAGGCTACAACGGTTTCTTAAAAGATACTGGAATGATGAGCGATTAATGTATTTTCATGATACTCTATCCGACTTCCTCTTGTCCAGGTAGGAAAATAAATGTTACTTAAGTTTACTGACCTACTTACTTTAGGCACTTGGCGAAATATTGCCTGTGTATGGTGTGAAAATTATGACAGAGTTAAACACTTCACGAACCACAACCAACGGTAATAACATAATCATGACAAAGAGGAAACATGTTGCAAAATTTCAAAAGTTTTACTGAAGATGTGAATGTGTGAAAGTTTTAGAAAAGGTCCCCAACTTGAAAAGAAAAAAAAGAAAGATATGAAAATCAACTTCAAAAACGAAAAGTGTCATGCTGTACAACCATGAAAAATCTGCCAATGTAACACACAAACCCTAATGCATGTATAAGAAGCTTAAGAGACAGAGTTGGCATAAAACCCTTAAACATTTTGATTACAGGCATACAGTCAGAAAAGACCTGGATAAGATTATACAGTTTTACTTCCACTGCATTCATTTTCCCAAAAGCCTCTGTTTACTTCCAGCATTAAACTAACCATATTATATTATCTTTAGGCTTTTGTGGCTGCCTTCCAATGCTAAAATGATCCTTTATCATAATTCAACTCCAAGTGTTCCTGAGATCTGCTCCAGATAGTGACTTCTTAATGGTAGGCCATAAATTCTTTCTTTATCTATTGCTGCACACTGGGAAAAAAGAGAAAAAATATTACTGAAATACAAAAAGCTAATGCAGACACAGACACAAACATTTAATCATTAAGGATAAAAAAATCTGCGCAATGACAACCAACTACTGCTTTCTACTTCCATATTCATTTCACACCCAGATCTAGACACACACACACACACACACACACACACACACCACACACACACACAACACACACACACACTCACTCACACACACACACACACACACACACTCACTCACTCACTCACTCACTCACACACTCACACACACTCACTCTCTCTCTCACAGGGTTGGAATAAAAATGACAACTTACAGAAGCATGAGAAGCATTGACTTGTATCACAGTTTCGGCATTTTGGAAGAGGTCAACATCCCATCTCTTCTTACGCAGCCAAGGTCCCAGGGGCAAGATGTGGCCCTCGGTTGTGAACATGTACTGGTGAGACTTCAAGTTCACTGGGTTGTCTATGTCGAAGAGCTGAAAATGGAGGACGTTTAACCATATGGTGATGGGGCCTGATACATTTGAGAAGTATTATTACGCAATAGTCTATACTTTGTGGCTAGGCCTAAGTTGTGTACAGCTGGCCCACCTGCTGTGAGTCCTGATCTGCTTACATGTCATAAGCTGTTACGTCACGACAAATATAGCAGTACCCGTCACCAAGGAGTTGAATGAACAATATTATCTTGAACATCAATTTTCTCATTTATGCCCTAAAAAGTGCACATCTAAATATAATAAGAAAAACATTCTTTCACAGAAAATAAAAGTTATAATTTACATATGCCTCAGCCACTTCTATCCTGTCAAGCAAGAAAACTAAATATCCAGTAAATCTCTCTCTCTCTCTATCTCTCTCTCTCTCTCTCACACACACACATAAAATACAAACAAACAAAAAAAGACCTACAAGGTACAAGTATTTGCAAGTCTCCGAAAGGAAGAAGGACTCCATGCGATCCTCAAGTGTCATGTCAAGCACTGAGTGGACGGTAGCATAGCCACACTCTGCCCGCGTCAGGTTATTCAGCGATGTCAGGATATCTCTGCCCACATGTAGGTAGAAAGGGTTGCGTGTGGCCTAAGAAGGAATACACAGCCTCGTTATTTTTAACACCTGTATTAACACATCTTGTTATACTTTAAGGACTTTTATCAATATAACTTTTATCCTTTGCAACTGGCTGTTCTCCTGCTTTACTGCACGAGAACTTGTAAAATAGAAGCATTGTCATACTTGCAGATGCATAGAAATAGTTAGTGATAAAACAGAAACTGTTCAAACTCAAAGAATCATTATATAATCCATATAATAAAATGATCATGATGATTATTATAAAAAATGAAAATAATAATAACAATTATTAATTAATATAATATAATAACCATAAGAATAGCAATAATGATCAATTAAACCATGCAACAATGATAATCATTACCCTTGGAAACCCTTACACATCCCTTCTTACCTTCAGTGTATACTTTGTAAGTAATTCTACATTCCAAGCACTATCTACCTATCTAAAACTATCTAGCTATAACAATTCCTGGCAAAACACTATCTCATTCCCCTTTTCCCCCATCTCTTTTTGTATTATTTTTCCTTCTTAGCTTTTAATCCTTGGCTTATAAAAGGAAAGACGTTAGAGAAAGGACAATATTTACCTGTGTGATAGCAAGCAAAATCTAAGGCTTCTCCTACATTCCCTTCCAATGCTACTGAGACAGCTTGCTGTCAGAAGGCATAGAGACAAGGTTAATTTTTTGCTTAAATGAATCCATTAGA